CAATACAGGCTCGCCTTTCTAAACCAGATGTGTCCTAATTTCTAGAGCATGCCTATCTTTTCAGTTTCATGTATGAGGTAACAGGTCTGCCCACCTCAGGAACACTGCGTCATTAAACAGCATACAGTACACAATAGTGCATGTTACTCACACTGTATATTTCAAATAACTGAATGAGTCACTGAGTTACAGTACTGTAAATAACATCCTTAAAACATCAAAAGGTTTCAAAACTGATTTGCTAGATTGCAGCCCTACAGAAAAAAAAAAACACTTAGGCCATTTATCAATGGAAAGTAACTTTTGAAGTTTAATGGTCAGTCCTATTTTATTGTTTTGCATCAAAGAGAATTTCTATCAGACGTCACATCAGTACATTGTCAGTGTGATGATGTAGTGCAGTGTGAACATCCCTTTGGTCTGTTTTTCATACTATCTGTTATATATTTTTCATGTAGACTAACCAGTCGACTGATTTATGCGTAGTGTTGATCTGCTCTCTAGTGACGGCATTATTGCGCAAGTTGAAATGAATGTATTTTCAGTGACAGTGAAAGGACGTCTTGGTTAATCACAACTGGTGGTCTCCCCCTGTTGACAGATGAAAGTAGCCTGTGTCAATATGGAAGCTATTGAGTCTACTCTGTCAACACTAATAGGAAATTTGTTACGACGGGCTTTGGGGAGAAAAGGATGTTAAAGTGCAGTGTAGCCATTAATCTATTACGAGAGCTGGATATGGAAGCATAACTCAACCTTGCTGCCAGTTTGACTCAGTGGTCACTCACAGTATTGCAAATAAAAAATAATCCCAACTTTGAAACTGATACTTGTAAAACATTTGTGTTGGACACCTACTACACACAAGGTCAGTTATTACTATTTGTATTCAGAATTTCTGAGCCTTTTAAGGATTTTAATTTATTAAACGTTCCTAATTTAAGCTGAAAGTGATAACTTTGGGGAAATCTGCTGATTCATTTTTCTTGCCCTTAGATAAGAAGATCAGTACCACACTGTCTGTACAGTAAATATGAAGCTGGAACAAGCAGGCTGTTTCTATTTTATCACACGGAAAAAGAAAATTATATATATACAGTGCCTTGCAAAAGTATTCGGCCCCCTTGAACTTTGCGACCTTTTGCCACATTTCAGGCTTCAAACATAAAGATATAAAACTGTAATTTTTTGTGAAGAATCAACAACAAGTGGGACACAACCATGAAGTGGAACGAAATTTATTGGATATTTCAAACTTTTCTAACAAATAAAAAACTGAAAAATTGGCCGTGCAAAATTATTCAGCCCCCTTAAGTTAATACTTTGTAGCGCCACCTTTTGCTGCGATTACAGCTGTAAGTCACTTGGGGTATGTCTCTATCAGTTTTGCACATCAAGAGACTGAAATTTTTGCCCATTCCGCCTTGCAAAACAGCTCGAGCTCAGTGAGGTTGGATAGAGAGCGTTTGTGAACAGCAGTTTTCAGTTCTTCCCACAGATTCTCGATTGGATTCAGGTCTGGACTTTGACTTGGCCATTCTAACACCTGGATATGTTTATTTGTGAACCATTCCAATGTAGATTTTGCTTTATGTTTTGGATCAGTGTCTTGTTGGAAGACAAATCTCCGTCCCAGTCTCAGGTCTTTTGCAGACACCATCAGGTTTCCTTCCAGAATGGTCCTGTATCTGGCTCCATCCATCTTCCCATCAATTTTAACCATCTTCCCTGTCCCTGCTGAAGAAAAGCAGGCCCAAACCATGATGATGCCACCACCATGTTTGACAGTGGGGATGGTGTGTTCAAGGTGATGAGCTGTGTTGCTTTTACGCCAAACATAACATTTTGCATTGTTGCCAAAAAGTTCGATTTTGGTTTCATCTGACCAGAGCACCTTCTTCCACATGTTTGGTGTGTCTCCCAGGTGGCTTGTGGCAAACTTTAAACGACACTTTTTATGGATATCTTTAAGAAATGGCTTTCTTCTTGCCACTCTTCCATAAAGGCCAGATTTGTGCAGTATACGACTGATTGTTGTCCTATGGACAGAGTCTCCCACCTCAGCTGTAGATCTCTGCAGTTCATCCAGAGTGATCATGGGCCTCTTGGCTGCATCTCTGATCAGTCTTCTCCTTGTATGAGCTGAAAGTTTAGAGGGACGGCCAGGTCTTGGTAGATTTGCAGTGGTCTGATACTCCTTCCATTTCAATATTATCGCTTGCACAGTGCTCCTTGGGATGTTTAAAGCTTGGGAAATCTTTTTGTATCCAAATCCGGCTTTAAACTTCTCCACAACAGTATCTCGGACCTGCCTGGTGTGTTCCTTGTTCTTCATGATGCTCTCTGCGCTTTAAACGGACCTCTGAGACTATCACAGTGCAGGTGCATTTATACGGAGACTTGATTACACACAGGTGGATTCTATTTATCATCATTAGTCATTTAGGTCAACATTGGATCATTCAGAGATCCTCACTGAACTTCTGGAGAGAGTTTGCTGCACTGAAAGTAAAGGGGCTGAATAATTTTGCACGCCCAATTATTCAGTTTTTTATTTGTTAAAAAAGTTTGAAATATCCAATAAATTTCGTTCCACTTCATGATTGTGTCCCACTTGTTGTTGATTCTTCACAAAAAATTACAGTTTTATATCTTTATGTTTGAAGCCTGAAATGTGGCAAAAGGTCGCAAAGTTCAAGGGGGCCGAATACTTTCGCAAGGCACTGTATAAAGCACTTGAACACAGCCGAGGCCAACAAAGTGCTTAACATAAGATACAATTCAAAACATCTAAAAACGTGACAACTACAATATTAAAATACCAATAAAATAACATAAAAGAACCAACATAGCAAAATAACAAAATACTATCAACCAAAACTCAGCCCAAACAGAGTCTCATAGCATATCAAACGCCAAAGCATACAAGTGAGTCTTCAAGTAAGTTTTAAAAATAGCCAACGAGGCGGCCTGCCTGATGTAAAGGGGCAGCGCATTCCATAGCTTAGGAGCCACAATGGAAAACGCTCTGTCCCCTCTGAGTTTACGCCTGGCCCACGGTACCTCAAGCAAGAGCTTTTTTTTTTAACCAACAGTTTTGCCTATGTATAGAGCTATATGTTAAAGAAAAGAACTCTCAAATCCTTAATAGGACTTTGGAATAAGAGACAATGATCTGCCAGCCTCTCAAAGGCAGACGTGCTCTACTTTTACCAAACACTCTTGCGTTATTAAATTATGGCTTTTCCCAAGTACTGCATTATATTTTGCTGACATCATTCCATGTACTGTACAGTAGTTAAATTTGGATCTATTCCCTCTTGTACTTTCCCCCACCTTCATGTGACAAGTAGCAGTTTTACATTATAAATTTAGCAGTGAGTCATACGAGGAATTGCACATATGAAGGGTTGCTTTGAAGATATGGCGGAGCTCGTTTCTCAGCAGGAGGAAGATTATACAAACATAATAAGTGCCAGCAGGACTTCAGTTTCATCCTGTACCATATGGATCTTAATACCATGCCTCCTCCACCTTGGCCAAGGCTTTAAGTAGCAGAGGAAGTTGACTGTAGGTACAAAAGAACCGTTCCAGTGAGAAAGTGACACAAAAAAACTCCGGAGTGAGTGTTATCTCTTAAGGCCAATTAACAAAACTGCTGAGAGCAGCTTTTGCTGTAAGAAATGGAGAGAGGTTTGCTATGAGAAAACATGGACTGATAGTCCTGCTCTGAGTGATGTCACCTTATGATTTGTTGTATTCATCGTGAATGAATACATTAAATCTGTAGGAAATAAACTGCTGGATTGTAGCATCTAGAGATGTGGGGTTTGATGTAATGTCCTATTTTAACAGCTACAGTGCTGCACGTTGTAACTGTCTTTATTTTCATCGACATGCACAACATTTTATACATTTATTTTCGAGGGTAATGTCTTTAAATGTTTTAAAGCTACTGTCCCAGTTACTAGAATGACTGCCTATACCATAGCAGCCACTTCCAGGACTGCTGGGGACTTGTTCTTAGTGATTTATGACTCCTCCAGCCTGCCCCAAACTTCCCTCAGGCTTGGGATCCATGGTGCTAAAATGCTCCATGAACTAAGACAGAAAAAACTTGATTTAAGTTTTAAAGTAAGGACTGACAAGCCTATAACTCTGTGGAGTTTAAAGTGGCCTGTTAAGATGTTTTGTGACTATAGCCTACCATTCTACATTTGATGTGCTGTAAAATAATCTATGTCGGACAAAGCAGCCCTGGAGCAAACACCATGAGAGGAAGACTGTACTGAGCAAAGCTGTTTCAGAAACTAACATTGCTTGAGGGGGAAAAAAAAAGAGTAGGCAGCTTTCTCCTTTTGTTTTCACCTGATGAGTTTTGCTTCATCAGACTTTATCTCCTATCCTCCTTGCTCCTATCAAGTCTCTCATCGGTGTAAGTGTCACATGTTGACATTTCAATTTCAGGAGCAGGAGATTGAAAATGATATTTTTTGTTGTTTTTCATAAAATCCGTTCACATCTCAGACAGCGGAAGGAAGCATATCCTGGCAATTGTTTTTAATGTTGAATAAATGCAGAGTCGACATACTGCATCTTCGCTGAAAGCCTGTATAAATGTAACACTAAAGTCAAAGTTGGGACGGTGTCTGCAGTCATGTATAGCTGCTCCTGGCATGGTGTTGTGGAATCAGGATCTCCAGTGAATAACTTTGTGCTCAATATGTTTTTTTTTTTTAAGATTTTAGGTTTCTCTACAAACTACATTCACAGTCAGTTATATGGGTAATTCTTAACCCAATTAAATCTAACATTTCTCTACTATTAACACTAAAACCTCTGTGGGACAGAATGAAATTATGTGCAACTTTATTACTTGCCCTCCAGTAGACTGTTCTCCTCCCACTCTCTTTTTTTCACCTTTTGCTGTTGTGAAACAAAGTCTCTTCACATTTGATTCAAAGTCTGCTCTTAATTCCCATTTCTTCTCTTATCCAAAGGGCTGAACCTATTCTGACCCGAATGAAGGAAGATCACACCCGCATTATCCTGCCTGCCATAGACAACATCAAATACAACACATTCGAGGTGCAGCAGTATGCCAACGCTGCCCACGGCTACAACTGGGGCCTGTGGTGTATGTACATCATCCCTCCACAGGAGTGGCTGGACAAGGGCGATGAGACAGCTCCTATCAGGTGAGCGCCTCGGCTGGCGAAGGGTGTCCATTATAGATGCAGATGTTTGATAAAATATGGATAGCCTCAGGATATGACTTATTCATGTGTGGATCCCACTAAGGTGCTCTGTAGTCTAGTGTGCTACCCCAACACACAAATAAAAGTCTCCCCGCAGAAAATTGTCTAATTACCATGATGAATATCTTCATTTTGATGCAGGATCACAAGGCTGTGGCAATGCAATGTCATTAGTGCAATTGTGTGTTGAATATGAGCAGGACATTCCATTATACCACAGCTGACTGGAGGACAGTGATGGCTTGTATCGGGTTTCTGTATAATCTTAGAATTGGTTATGTGAGTCCTTGGTAAAATCCTATTGGATTTTAATAGACCGAGATGCCTGGCACTTCATACGATCATACGGTACAACAGCAGCATTTGTGCACCATTCCTGGTTGAAATAAACATACAGTCTACTGCCACAAGTCTTACTGGCAGCTGCCATCTCAATAGCGAGTTGGCTCGTCCAGGGCAGTGTCTGGAACATTGCTGCGGAGGAGTATTGCAATGCAGGGAAATGGGTTTTGAATTTCAGTCGACACCTGTGTGTGAACTAACTGTCGAAGCATTTAAAATCACCTCTGTGACAAGAACCTAAGACATACTACAATGAAAATCTGATTAATTCTCCAGGAAACTTGGCACATCTGCATAAAGGTAATAATGAAAAGCTTGTAATCAGAGGGTCACTGACTTGTTGGCAAAATTACAAGTGGATGTTTCCCTGCAAAGCTACAAGTGTCAGAGTTCTGGTTTGGCCTTTTTTCAACCACTGTGAACAGTAAATGACTATAGGAGTGATATTTTCAGTGTATGACACATTATCACACCATGAGGCACGGAGCCCACTTGCATCTTTTCTGCTCAAATCAGAACTGGCCAGCACTGCCATAACAATAAGAAAATCTTACATCATTCAACATCGATGATTGCCACGATCTCGTTGCCACGGCAGTGTGGCTGAGCCTGTGAGAACATGAAAAGACTGATAGATCGCAGGAGCTGCAAAAACGTATGTTTTTCTATTGATCCTTATCAGATATGGTGCTATTCGTAATATCTGACTGGGCTCCAGTCTAGAATAAAAATGAACAAAATATGTGCAAAAATTAAAAAAAAAAAAGAAAAAAAAAAGAGCTAGCATAAATTATATGCACATAGCAAATGTGGTCATGTCTTTAAAAATGTCCTTCAACTGAACATTGTAACTGCCTTCCAGCTGTGGGGGTTATCTGTCCCACAGCTCTCCCTGAGCTCTGATCTCTCTGATGAATTATATAAACGCATCTTGGTGCCTCATGCAAGGAGACAAATGGGGCTGTGGAAACATATGAAATATTATCACTGAAGTGCCCTATGATGTGGACGTTTGAAAACTCCTGAAGGACACCTCGAACATTTCATATGCTGTTTTACACTGATGAACTGTAATGATACTTGTTTGTTTTAATGTGGTAAAGTCAAAGGCAGTGCAGGAGCCAGGCGTGCTGGTTCTGGGTTGACCAGAGCTACTGATTTTTAATTTTTCTGCATTCATAGCACTGACAAATTTTGCTGTGAGCTTGGCAGCAGGTTTGTTGCTATGCAATCTTGAATTCAAACATGAAGATAAAACACACTGGCATGTGAACACCAGAGATTTTCTTTGATAGAAAAAGAAATAATATTCCAACCTAAAATTTAATACTTAGAATCTGAACGATGGCCCAGAAATGAACAGCAGCCCATATTCAACTTGGCTTATAAGGACTCCTGAAGCCATTCAGCATATTTTTAGGAACCAGAGTTAGTAACAAATACTGCAGCACATTAGTTCTTCTTCACAAAGGGTTCAGCACTAGAATTAGAACAGAAGCCTTGACTGGTTTCACAGGAATCACAAGAAGCAGTAAAATTAAGTTTGTTTGTTTAGATTTAAAGCAAATGAGATGTGTGACATGCCAACATGGCTACATCTTAATATTGACCAAAGGTCTTCAAAAGGTTATTTATGTTGTGTATGAATCCCTCCATTAAAATGTTATGAAATGTGTGTAACCCTGTTAGAGTAATCAGACCTTTAATCTCACTTAATTAAAAATCCAACACCTCATTCCTGGGGTTCATTAGCCCATAAGCAATCCAAGGACAAGCACAGAGACCATGAACAGTCACAGCACAAGTAAAGGAGCAACCATGCTGAGCTGTGTCAAAGCCAACTGCCTGATGAACTTCATTATTAAGATTAGACACTGGAAATGTCTGAGTCAGCTTGAGGAACTGAGACTGCATGCAGCCTGATAGGAGCTGTGTTTTAGGGTTGATGATTGTAACTGTCAGTTCAATGTAAACAGACCAGCGAAATGAACAAGTTTAGTTTGTTGATTTGTGTCATTTAAGGCCTCGACTGCTGAATTTTAACTGAGCTGCAAACATGAAACATCCCAGTGCTTACTACCAGGATGGCATCTAAAATATCAGCCTACTGTAAACTAAACCATTCATGCACACTGTCTGATTTTGACAAGAAAAACTGAATCCCAGACTAGTTTTACTACCTCTCTGAGCCCAGCCTAGGAAAAGCAATACGTTTTATCTGATATAGGATGTTTCATACAAGTAAAACAAGTGAGAACAGTTTATACTGTGGACCTGAATATTGGGTGTCTCATCAAAGGTCCATGAAAATAATGTATTATTGAGTATCAGCTGGCGGTCCTGAGATGGGAGACAGATGAGCGACCAACATCGGACACTGCAGAGCTGGGTCGTATTTTCCTATTGACACTTTTCTGCAAACGGACAGATCGCCTCAAGGGCCGGCTGAAGTGTGTTGGCTGTGCGGATTCCTATTGGAAATCATTGTCCTGCTTGTTTCCTGACGTTTCGGCCCATCAATGACAGAGGCTCCGTGGCCATTCAGAGCTCAGTCTCAGAACCTTTTCTTGCTGTTTGGACATATTCAGCAACAAAAGGGTCTCTGACGACAAAAAAGTGCCACATTCTGAGAGTACAAGGGAGAGCAATCATTACAGAGGTTTGACAAAAATAGGCTGTCTTTGACAACTGCAGTGTTTTTTGAAAGGTTCAAATAGGGAGTTGGTGAAAATGACAACCAAATGGTTTTGAAAGCTAAAGCCTGCAACCAAGATTACATGGATACAGTTGTTTCTTACATGGAATGACTTCTATGTGGATATTAAGTATGGCTTGCATTCAAACATCTCTGTGGTTTCTTGAAAGGATTGTCTTTTACCTAAAGGATGCTGTTTAAATCACCTTAAGAAAACAGACAATAGCTAAGGATTGGAGATAAACAGCATACTTCATTCAAACAGTACTTCATTAACTTACTGTTACATCAGTCTAATTGTCTTGCTTACACAGAGACTTGAAGATGATCACACAGATGTAAAGCAAGAGTACAAGCCATGATGGAGACCAAAAATCAGTCAAATTTCCTTAATAGGAGTCAGCAAATGACTAAAGATGCATTTTATACATAACAACCACATAATGGAAAAACAAAACAAAACCAGACCACAATAGAATAGAACAGCTTTATATGTCATTGTACAATGAAATTTAAGATGCAATCCTTCTGTGCATAAATTAGAAACAAGCTACAATAGTTTTAAAAACCTAAAAGACTATAAATACTGAAATATCACAGGGGATATGTTGTGGAAAGTATGATATTTAGTGTGACAATGGCTCTGGGATAAAAGCTGTTTTTAGTCTACTAGTCTGTCTTTTGATTTTGTATTGTCAGCCAGAAGGTAGCAGTTCAAACAGATCGTGCCCAGGTTGGGAATGGTCTCTCAGGATGGCATGAGCTTTATTGAGGCAGCGGGAGGGGAGAGGGCAACCAATAATCTTCTAGGCTGCGTTGACAACCCTCTGGAGTGCTTTCCTCTCTGCAGCTGGAGAACCACAGACAGATGCAGTACATTGGTGTCCTCTCTATGGAGCAGCAATAGAAAGTCACAAGTGGTTTTTGTGACGGGTGGTTTTTCCTGGGTATCCTCAGGAAGTACAGTCTCTACTGTGCCTTCCTCGCCAGCAATATGGTCTAGATGCTCCAGGTCGGGTACTCCTCCAAGTGCACACCCAAGAACTGGGAAACTGCAACCCCTCCACATTGTCCCCCCTGATGGCCAGGGGATGAATGTCTGTTTTGTTCTTTCTGAAGTCAATAATCAGCTCCTTAGTCTTAGTGATGTTAAGCATGACGTTGTTGTCATTGCACCACTCAGACAGTGAAATGAGCCCCACCACGGTGGTGTCATCCACAAAATTGATGAACGCTGTTGCTGGAATGGGTGGGGACACAGTTGTGGGCGTAGAGGGTGTAGAGCAGGGGATTCAGCACAAAGTCCTGTGATGTGCCAGTGCTCAGGCTGAGAGCTGAGGAGATGTGGGTGCTGACTCCCACCCACTGTGAGCGGTCTGTCAGGAAGTCCTTAATCCAGAGACAGATGGAGTCAGATAGTCCCAGGCCTGTTAGCTGGTACACAGGTTTATGAGGGAGGATGGTGTTGAAAGCAGAGCTAAAGTCCACAAAGAGCAGCTTGGCATAGGTCCCCTTCTGCTCTAGGTGGGTCAGAGCAGCGTGAAGAGTTGTGGCCATGGCATCCTCCGTGGATTTGTTTGCTCTGTATGCAAACTGGTGTGTCTCTAACCTGGGCGGGAGGCAGGATACAATACGATCCCAGACTAGTTTCTCAAAGCATTTCATGATGATAGGTGTGAGAGCGACTGGCCAGTAGTCATTCAGCCTTTGGAAGTAGGTTTATTGCAGTATATAAAAGTATTAGGAAACTATGTTTATCAGCAGTGGCTTTGATGGATTAATTGTTTAAAACCATTTTAAGATATTTCTGTATGCATCAAATGTCTTAAATATCTTATTAAAAAATAATAATTCATGAATGTGTCATACCTGATTGGAATGTTAAGGGCTGTCATACAGTTCTAAATAAGCAGTCGCAGATGAATCAAATGTCAAGTTTAGCATTGTGCCACTTTGGACAAAAATAAGCTAACTTAATTGAAAGTGTGCTTATTTTTGCTTTTTTACCTTGTCAAATTGTCATATGTGTATCAGATGTTCCTTACTGAAAGCAAAATGTCTGGAGGGCCAAGTTGAGGGGTGCAGCCATTTGCACACTAACACTAACTACATGTAATGATATGAACTGGGAAAATGAACCATCCACCAGATTCCACCATCAGTCTGCGATGTCTTTGGTCAGAAGTTGTTCTGTGAAAGCCTTTTGTGTTCCTCTTGTGTTTGGTGTACCCACTGTCACTCATGGCTGTTTGACAAACCTCAAAGAAGTGAGACTGTGTTCTGTGTATGTGTAGGTACAAAGAGCCAGAACGACTCAGAGAAAGTGATGGCAGTGTGCCATTTACAAACCATTACAAAGCTGCCGAAGACGGTGTTGCATTTCACACACGCTGATGGCAGGGTCACACAGACGAGAAACTGTGGCTGCATTGTGTCAGGTTCTTATCAGTGAAGAATTTAATATTTCTGTCACTTCTGTTACTGATTTTTTTCATGTTTGTTGCTGTAAAATTGCAAGTCAGGACTGAAAACACAACAGTTTGATATCCAGCCTCTCAAATGTATGCATTCTTGGCAGAAAAGTTGGCTCTAATTATTCATTAACTGGACTTTAGTTAATAGACTCCACTAGGGCAGTTATTCTTTTATGCTTTAATATTGCATGTTTGATCACCTTGCCAACAAATGAGAGAGGAACCACACTTTGCTTTGCTTTGTTCTTGTCCCTTCTTGTTGTACTTTTCCCACACTAGAAAAACTTATTTTTACTTGTATTTAACCTTTACTTTACCATTGAGATCTGGCCAAGATGGAAGCCATACAAATTTACAAAATATTAAAAACTGACACATGCAACACAATAAAATCTATTCACAATATAAAAACAATGGCCTTAAGAAAAGCAGCTACATCTCCTTCGCCACAATCTTAACCTTCTACCAACCAACATTACACCTTATCTTGTGCTGCAAAGCATCACAACCATTAAGAACGTGTTCAGCCAAAGGTTTCAGCTGCCTCATCACATGCTGTAGGTCTACTTAAGGTGCTGAGCATACAGAAACAGTGTTTACATTGTCAGGCAGGTGATTGTAAAGGGAACAGTCCAAGTGGGCTTCACAAAGTTTGTGCCACACAGACAGCCACGGTAGGTCACTTGTCAAGAGAGGAGAAAAGATGAGCTGAATGGGGCCGAGTGTGTGCTGTGCCTCTTTTTAGCTGCACGGCCGGTGCAAATAATGGCCTCCTCGACACAAGCTTATAATTTAAACAAACTTTGAGGCTATGTCAGGCAATGAGAGTATATAAATAAGCAAGCATGGATCATTATAAAAGTTTTTCAGTGTGGCATAAAGGTGTCTGTAGCACAATTAGTTAATAATGGCAAAGACTACAGATTGTTGAATGACAACTAAATAACGAGGGTGAGGGAGCACGACTAAATAGTTACCATAAAGAATGTCACTCTATAACTTCCCATAATCACATAAAGCAAAAAGCCAGCACAAGCTAACACAATCAGTTACTTTCACTGTTTCTATATAATATCATATATGAAGAACTTTTCATCAGCTTTACTTTACTCAAATATAATATAAAGGTCATGCAGTAAAGATTAATGATTAAGAAAAATAGTGGGAAGGCCTTCCTGAGAGATACAATGGTTCAGGTGTGTTTATATTCATTTCAGCATTATCTTTTGTTTGCTAATGATTTTCAAAATTACACTTTGTGGTGATGGTGTTTTATGTCTGGTCTAAACCTAAAAGCATGTTTCTTTAAAACACACACTATATTGTACAGCTCAATGCACTTTGTGAATCATAATGCAGCTCCACCGCCATGCTTCCCAAACTGAAGTGGCAGACACACATTTGTCTGTGCTGTGCATTTTTTTATAGGGTGAATTTACCCGGGTGTCGTTTCAGATGGAAGAATAAAGCCACTCATCAGTCACTTTTGTGGAAAAATAACAGCGCTCAGTCCACTCTGTGAATGCAATGCTTTTCATGGGGCTTTGTCCCAGAGCACTCAAGACCTGACAGACAATAGTACTGAAAAGCAGCCCTGGGGGGACAGCAGCTAAAGTGGGATCATTTCTTTTAGTAAAGGTAAAAAGTAAGTGCATCCTTTTCTGAAAACCATTCTGTTGCTCCAGCTCTAATGGATGAACTTAGGTAGTTTCTAAATTCCTAGTTTTAAAAGTAGTTTTAGGTTATTCCACTAAAACACGTGTCAAACTTGAGGCCCGCGGGCCACATCCGGCCCGAAGTACAATTACATCCGGCCTGTGAGATCATTTTATATACCTTTTTTTTTTTTTAATGGCCCGGCGGCGATATGAAGCGCCAATAACATACAAACTACAAATCCCATAATGCAGCTCAACAGCTGCCTTACCAAACAATAGGCTACCTGCGATCATTCCCGCGTCAATTACGTTAGATCAGTCAAGCGTGTGCTGATGTATACAACCCTAATTTCAAGTCAAAGCTAGCCCCTAACAATGGCCAAGAGAAAAGTTGATTCTGAAAACGGAGCCTTTGGGGAGCCGACAGTGGTGTGGTGGGTAGAACAGTCATCACCCAACCAGAAGGTTGAAGGTTCAAATCTCGGTGCCATATGTCAAAGTGTCCTTGGGCAAGACTCTGAATGAGAAGGTAGAGGAGCTGAAGAGGGATCTGACATCACAGCAGACGTTTTCACCAAAGTGAAATCGCAGTGAAGCTGCTGTGAAAGCAAGTTTTATTGGGGCAGAGGAGAAAATCAGCCTGGACATTTACCGAGGGAGAGTTTCTGAAGAGCTGCATGATGAAAGTGTGCGACGTCTGGTGTCCAGACAAAAAGCAGGTGTTTGCAAATGTAAGCCTTAGCAGAAATACGGTTGCTGATTTTAAGTTCAAGTTAATTTATTTTGGAATAATATTGTATCCTGTCTGTTTCGATTCATATTTATGTTAAAAAAAACATTTAGTTTTAGTCTGTTCAATAAATTTTTATCCTGTTCGGCCCGCGACCTAAAGTGTGCCTTGAGTTTTGGCCCCCTGTGCGATTGAGTTTGACACCCCTATACTAAAAGATGTGTAATACAATAAAATCTGAAGTTTACAGTTCAAAAGCCATTCTGGATCACTGTACTTGACATGGATAAAGGAATAGAGATGGTATCCTGTTTTATTTTATTCTCTGTCTTCCATAGTACTTTTCATTTCATCTAAATAATAAAGCTAATCAAAATAATTCTTAAATTGTTACATGTAATATGACAGGTGTGGAACATAATGATGAACCCACAGAGCATTTTAGCACCTTTATGCTTATTGTTTTGATTGGTGGACCCCAAAGCAGAGCATAAAGAAGTCAGTGTTGGACTTAAGATTATATTGACTCCAAATAACTGTAAATGTCACTCAGTTTTTGCTGAATGTGTAAACAGGTGCCTTCTGTACTGCAACATGGCATCCCCAAATGGTAACACTGACTGACTTATAATACCAATACCAGTTTCAGCGAACTCGGTGTCGATGTGCATTTCTATTTGCAGTAAATGAGCTCTTGGATCCTGATATGTGTTTAGATGATGCTTCATTTTGTGTGTGTGTGTGTGTGTGTGTGTGTTTTCTGGGCATAAGCGTACTGTTGCAAAACCAATACTGTATTCTATCTGTACATTTACATTAAGTTTAACTGATCAGGGTTTAAGACTGTACTGTAAAACATTTTAATCAAGCTATAATGACTAATATTTTTTTCAAGCTTATCCAGAAAGTCTTACAAAATGTGTGGTCCTATCTTAATTGCACTTAAAATTTTAGAATCCTATACATGTTGAGAGAATAGATACACATATTCAAACAACACTGTCTCTCTCTCTGTTTGTCCAGAACTCCAGCTATGATTGGCTGCTCCTTTGTGGTTGATCGAGAATACTTTGGCAAGATTGGTCTACTGGATCCTGGCATGGAGGTCTACGGAGGGGAGAATATTGAGCTGGGCATGCGGGTAAGGACCTACGTATTATCAGCGCTGCTGTTAAAATGCATTCAAATCTGAGGGGGACTTTGATAAATTACTTGAAACATGGACTTTTTCTTTTTAAACTGAATTAAAAATCACTGCATTAAGCAGCAGATGAAATAGCTTAGAGAACTGCTGCAAGTAAAGTTAGTTTTAATGAGACATTCCTTCAAGCCTGGAAGCGTTTCTGTGCAGTTGTACACCAGGAAAGCCACACACACACACACAAAAAAACATAATTACAAATCCAATATTTGAGGGGGTGATATTTAGATGAACAGTTGGAATGATTTGTGAAATCTATATTCAGACTTTGGAACAGCTTATGATGAATGTTTCTCAGCTGCAGGGATACAGCTTCAGATACAAAACCCAGGGGCATCAACAGAATCCATGATTACACTTTGCAAAGTTTCTTAGATGGGAGGGGAGAAAGTAAAAAAAAAAAAAAAACCTTAATGCAAATCTTCAGCAACCCAAAAGCTCAAAAGCCTGTATACAGAAAATGTAAATCTCTTTTGCTGCTGCTTTGAGTTGAATTTAACGCTTCATGTGAGCAATGGGCTTGCTGAAGAATTGGTTAGCGTTTAAATTCAGAAAATGTTTCTCTCCAGCCAAGTAGAACCATTCTGAATCTAAACGCCCTCCTTGGACTTACTGGAATGAGAAATGCTTGAAAGATCCCACTCTTTCATTTAACATCATCCCCACATCCATTTCAAAATCTTGAGATGGTTTCAACGACACCTGTGAGGTGTCGGCTGCCTTTTGAAAAAGCACTTGAATGGAGGCCGGAGAATGGATCTTGGTTTACAGATTGCTGCAGTGCTTCATTGAAGCCAGAGACATTTATAGTTGTTGATGACCATTTCAGAACCTCCCATTATTCTGCTTTCTTCTGCATCAATCATGTTTTTTTTTTTTAAATCATCTAGCTTTTTGTCTTTAAACAATCACTGTTTAGCATTCTCCTACAGTGGTAACTCAGCATTATATAGTATATTATGTGCCAACTGTCAGCAGCCTCCTCCATGGTTACACAGCGTCTAACAAACCAACCAAGTTAGACGAGGTTCGTGGGGGAGATCAATTCAGCAACAGCAGCTAAATAAAGTTAGAACTACTCTATTGAACTGGGTGATATAGCGGAACAGTGAGTATCTTTTGGCTCTCACAATCACAGGCTGCTCATTGACTCCATCTCTTCTCACTATGAATATTTACTGTATGTTTCTGATTCATGAAGTGAAGAGAATATGGCACTCCATCTGCAAACACAATACTATCACAAATGCTATTAACTCTCCTTGTGTTTGGCCTGGCCATATAGAAATGAAACACATTTCACAAAAAAGGTGCCATTCAGCACATGTGCCAGCCTGAATAGGTTTGCAGTCAACAACCAGCTTCAGCCATTCATACTGCAGAGCCACTAATGGAATGGAGATGGGCTTCTGGCGAGTGGACAGCAATTACTCCTAAGGCAACTGTGGCTTAGGCAGCTCATTATAGTGCTGGCTGAGGAGATGCCATGTGGGATAGTCTTGATTGACAAGAACATGTTTAACAATTAGCTAGGGCAGCTCACAATAGCTGAGCCTGCCCAGGACCATCTGACTACAGGGGGCTGATGAAAGACAGGGTTCACGCAGAAAGGTTATGGCGTATTTATAATTTACTGTGAGTTGTGGCTTCTGTATCTCGCTCTGGGTAAAATGGCTGCCAGGATCCAAAGGACCAGCCTCTTTTGTAAGCAGAAAGGAGGCTAGTATGTGCAGGGTAGATTATACATGTGGTGATGTTTAGCTGAGAGAAGAGGATAAAATAAAACCATGAGAAGGGAAAATAAATCATAGATCTTACTGCAGTTTTCTGTTTGTTTGGGAGGGTAATAATTTATAGAGTTGTACCTGTAAATGAAAAGAAATGAACAGAGAGAAAATAAAACTGCAGAGACAAAGAAAATGGATATGTAAATGATGCTCCCAGCATAATGCAGTAAAGGGTACATACAGTACATCATCTAGAGCCATACTATGACACATAAATACTTTGTTTGACATCTGAATCGATTGCGAGCTTTATAATCAGTGCAAAATGAAATAAAATCAACTGGATGTATTCTCACTGTTGGTGTATATCCTACTGGCAGCATAGGAGATTGATATCTTCACCTTTGTAAATGCTTGTAAAAGGGTGCCGGAACAAGAACACTTGCTTACTATGTGGCTCCGTTTGCAAACAGAGAAAAATGGCTGGGAATAAAAATGATGAATCCCGCCAGAAGTGTCAATATGTGTTTATTTTATAATGTCTCTCCCACCCCTCCTGCTTTGCTGAATCTTTGCTGATATAGCATCTTGGGAGATCAGGACATTGCTTTTCATTTCAAAGTTCCTGTGGGGCCAGGGGTATTATACTGAGCTGCTCTGTCTGCAGATATACTACATCAACTCTAGCAGGGGTCATCCTAGCCGCTGCTGCTCCTGCTGGTTCCACTGACACCTGATGTGGAGTGAAACCTTTCTGCTTATATTCTGAAGATTGTCCTCTTAAGACTCTTGCAAATTTAACAGCTTATGTAGATTAAGGTACAGGAATGACTCTGTTCATTTTGAATCTTTGCATTGGTGGGGAAACATTATCTACTGGGGTGTGACTGATTTGTGCTTTTAAATGGACACAATGACACCATTATATTTGTATAGCTGTTGCCGGGGGGCTTTGTTTATGCTGCATTAAACATTTTCTCATTTTCCAATCTAAAGTAAGTGATTTCCCTAGCCTCTGAAACAACTTTTAGATGAGTCTGTAAAACTTGCTCTCTGAAACAACGATGCATACAGTGTCACATTCAAATGAGCTACAAAACCTCAAAACTAGTGCAAAATAAATAAAGACATAGGATGTGCAAGAAACTATAATATTCACACATATTCTTCCATTGCATGAAGTTGGCCGCTACATAAAGCTGTTAATTTGTGAAATAATAGTAATTTATTTTGCTCATCATGATAATTGTGTTGATTCTTCAAGAGTTTTTATTCAAGTAATTAAATTAAAAGCTAAAAATTTATTTATATGCTGATAATGACAGCAGAGGGAAATAACCAATTAATAGGACAAGATTATGGGATTTAATTATTAAAAAAAACAATGATTAACATTGACATGCTTCATGCAGTTAAGTAAATGGCAGCAAGGAGTCTCGGCAAACCCTGTAGGCAGGTTTGGAGTGCTGAACAATCTCCGCTACTCTCTCGCCCAGAGGCAAAACGGATTTTAGTCAGTCACCACCCACACTGCTCAAAGCAAACGAAACATAGTACTTGAGTGAGTCTGTAACACTGTGTAAGGCTGTAATGTTTCCATTCTGAGGCAGGAGAAGGTACGAGTTCTGTCAGTGTCAGACACAGAGTGGGAGGGTATAGCTATATCCTGGAAGTGGTGCAGGCCCACTACACACTCAGAAAGGTAGATTTGTATTTATTGCCAGCACTATCAAATGATTTTAATTAAAAACGTTAGCATGCAGTACAATATATATGTCTAAAAATAGTGCTAAATGTAGCTTCAACTCCAGTTGTGTTAGTACTTTTTGTAAATCAGTAAATGAACACTTATACCTCCCAGGCCACGCTGCCAAAACACAGCTATTGTCAGTCTAGATGGTTTTATCTGCACAATATGCCTATGTCCTCCCTACTTTGTCATCAGGAAGCATCCAAACTGCTGTATGAAATGTGTCTCATTTTCATAACAGTCCAATCAATCAGTCCAAGACACTCAAGTGTGATCTCACGGGGGTCTGCTTGTCTTGATGACATTCATTAAACTCACCAGGAACTCCTTTCAAAAGTAATGAACCAAAAAATTATTTTATTTTTTTTCTTTGAAGTTCCGTCTCTATAACCACCTGGGCTGGGCCTCGAGGCATCTGGTCATAATCTCTCTATAGTGAGGAGAATGGAGCTAATTAAAGTAGCATCAGCTAGACAGGAGTGGGACATAATTACACTTCACTTGGTCCCTACTGCATCCCAAGCTGTTAGAACAGTGTGATGGCAGTTCAGTATATTTATTATTTTTGGGTTTAGATTTGATTTTTCATCCGTTTTAGGTATTAAATATTTAGGAGAAACTGTGTCACTGTATATAATTTACACCTTAAGTTTAAGATTACAGTAGCTATTGAGCAGAGGTTTTCAAACTGCGAAAGGCTCCTCTCCAGTAGATGGCAAAGGGAGAGATGTAGGGCAAAAATACTGCATGACATGAAGGGAACAGGTGCATGCAGGGGCAGGCTCTGAAAATAATGAGAAATTAGTTATGGTACCTATTAAATAACAATCAAAAGTTGAAGCTGCAATGACTGTGACACAGCTCAAAGAGTCGCTTAAGGTCATTTAAAACTCTTAGCATCCATTTTGCAAGCCTATACTTCAATTAGCATAAAATTCTTACTCGTTCTCTGAGTAATAACTCAGCCCGATTTGAATCATCTGAATCACAAATCACAGAAAAGAATCACTGCTTCTTGTAACTGCAAAACTTGCCTCCAGAATCATTCTGTTTTCAATGAGGAAGTTTTCAGTATCAAAGTAATCCAGTGAAAGTTGGCTGTGTCCATGGCTACATTACAAATCGAAAATTGTGATCTAATTTGACCTGCTTTTAATGGAGCTGATGTGCTAAAATGTAAATTATGTAAACTAAATAAATGAGGTTCCGTTTGTAGCTCACTGCTACTGTAGCTGACTCCATGTGAAAGCAACACAACAAAAACCTCCTCTTTACACCCCCCACACCCCCTAATTTCTAGAAATGAAAAGAATAAAAATTGCACCGTGTCATTTGATGGCAAAGAACATGCCCTTCTTTACCTAAAAAGATATATTATCAGTGCTATCTGTAGGATTCTTCACTTGCCAGTCAACTGTGGAGTCCATCTTATAGTATTCTGCATCTTATGCTGCCTGTTACAC